AGATACGAATCCTAGGCTAAGCCTAGGGTTATCTCATCATAATATACAATCCACCAAAGACATAGGACGTAGGGTATTACGCCGATTTGACGGCCTGAACCTGCCTAAATCGCTGTCTCTGCGCCTGTGTTACCATCTAGTTCGTATCTCGCGCACCTCCACCGATTCATCTACTACCGTGGACCCTTCCGTAGACTGTCAACCATATTTCATCGACAGTGGTGAACCAGATGACGTACCTCAAGATCAACAGCACGTTCTCGACGATGGCCCCGTGCGTCCAACCGCTCGCACAGGCCGCCGTTGGGGAGGTGCACCTACACCAGCATGCTCTCCGCAAAGTCCGATCTCTAGATGCTCCGTAGGAGCAGGAGCTTCACCACGTTCACTTGCTGGATGGCTTTCGGGGTCTCCACCTCCGAGTCAACCCTCACGGCACCCGCACGGCGCTCTACTTCCAGATTGGATCTGCTGGCCCCATCCTACGATGCCGAGCCGAACACAAGCGTAACGGAATCGAGTTCACCGAGATAGCACGAGATCCAATCGGCCTAGCACGTGCATGTGCGGTTGAGCGGCAGCCTATCGTCGTTTGGCGCTTCCATCAGCCAAGAGCAATCAAATAAATAGTAAACAAATGGCCATGCAAGCTAACTACGGGATCAAGTTATTGAGGAGGCTTTGTCCTGCATGTACGTATGGATGCATCATGCATGCAGCCACTACGCACGCCCACACGCAACCGAACAAAGCTAAGTCAATCTTTAATTAAATATCTTATGATATATGTATGCATCTGGGTATCTGCATATGTGTGCATGGTTATTTTGACAGGAATCTAACTGCGCTCGTGGTCGCTCCGCGTCATCTCACGCTAGCGGCACGGATCTCGTTGACTGCACGCAGCGACCGTCCTGCAAGCTCGGCTCAAGGCCAAGAAAAGGACCGTCAGCTGCGCACCATCGAGTTCGACTATGCTGGCGTCGACCTCGATTTCTTCTCGCTGAGTTCAACTACGATCTCGGCGCACCCGTCCGACTGCATCAAGCTGCTACGCGAGCCGCTAGGCGAGTCGCTAAGCGAGCCGCCAAACGAGCCACTCGAGCCATCAAGCAAGCCACCCGAGTCATAAGCGAGCCGTGCTGCGTCGCAACGATGATCGCCCCGCGCACCCGAAGAACGGCACTAGGACAATCTGCGACCGTCGCCGTGACGATAGGCCGGAAAGCTCGAGGGCCGGGCAATTTCATCGTCGCCGACCAGATAACGTCATACGTCACCGACCACACGTTTTGTCTAAAGATAAGTACATTTTCATATATGAATATTTAATGAAGTTTCTCCGTACTATTCTCTCCGTGATTATTTTCTAAACGACTTTTCTCCATGTATACCATCTTAAAGATGACATACGTTTTCGCCTCAATGGCTACCCGAACAGCCATGTTTACGCTTGTGTTTTCTAGAGATAGCCTTGTCTCCGGCTTCTCACTATACGTGCACGAGCACCAACCCTCTGCGTTATGGGTGGTCGACAGCGGCTCCTCGGTGATGCTTGTCTTCCTACACGTACACGAGCTCCAGCGCTCCGCGTTACGGTTTACGGGCTAGGCGAGGCTAGGGGCACAACCACGAATTAACTAACTGGTTGGGGCGGTTTATATTAAATAAAAATACATCTCAAAAAAAAACACTTAGTGTTTACACCAATTGGAAGGAAATTACTCATATTTAAAATATGAGCAAACTTCAAATAAACATAACGTTTATCTACAACTGTTCGGCAAGATATATCATGTACTACCCGTTCTACATATTTGTTTTGCAGGGGCCTGATTCAGTCAATGAGCTTATTTTTTACGCTTGAAGATTAGGTCACCTGGGAAGGACAAAAGGATCATCGTCCGGATGGTCGCACCACCTGGCAGTCGGACTTCTCTGTCGATCAACTGGTCGGACGCTAGGTTCATGGACTTCGTCGCCGACTAGTTGATCGGATTGTTCGATGCTCACTTCTACTCGGCGCTCACTTCGCCGCTGACTAGTTGGTTGGGCTGCTTGGTGCTCCATTCTTGGCCAACCAGCCGGTAGGATTGTTCGTCGTTTCATCGTCAGCTATGCTTGGGGTTCGCCAGCTAAGCTGGAGAGTCCTCGGCATTCGGATTGTTCGGTGCTCACTTCTACTCGGTACTCACTTCGCCGCCGACCATTTGGTTGGGCTGCTCAGTGCTCGATCCTTTGCCAACTAGCTGGTCAGATTGTTCGTTGCTTCATCGTTAGCTACGCTTGGGGCTCGCTAGCTAAGCTGGGGACTCCTCAGCATTTGGATTGTTCGGCGCTCACTTCTACTCGGCGCTTACTTCATCGCCGACCAGTTGGTTGGGCTGCTCGTTACTCGATTCTTCGCCAACCAGCTAGTCGGATTGTTGGTCGCTTCATCGTCACCTACGCTGTGGGCTCAGCAGCTAAGCTGGGGACTCCTAGGCATTCAGATTGTTCGGCGCTCACTTTTACTCGACGCTCACTTCACCGCCGACCAGTTGGTTGGGCTGCTCGGTGCTCGATTCTTCACCAACTAGTTGGTCTGATTGTTTGTCGCTTCATCGTTAGCTACACTGGGGCATCACCAGCTACGGTGTTCGAATTGTTCGGCGCTCACTTCTACTCGGCGCTCACTTCACCACCGACCAGTTGGTTGGGCTGCTCGGTGCTCGATTCTTCGCCATCTAGCTGGTCAGATTGTTTGTCGCTTCATCATCAGCTACGCTGGGGCTCGTCAGCTAAGCTGGGGACTCCTCGGCTTTTGGATTGTTCGGCGCCCACTTTTACTCGGCGCTCACTTCGCTGCCGACTAGTTGGTTGGGCTGCTCGGTGCTTACTTCTTTGCCGACCAGCTGGTCGGATTGTTCATCGCTTCATCGTCAGCTACGCTGGGGGCTCGCTAGCTAAGCTGCGGACTCCTCGGCGTTCGCATTGTTCATCGCTTCATCGTCAGCTACTCTTGGGGCTTGCTAGCTAAGCTGGGGACTCCTTTGCATTCAGATTGTTCGTCGCTTCATCGTTAGCTTCTCTAGGGGCTCGCCAGCTAAGCTAGGACTCCTTGGCATTCGGATTCTTCGTGCAAGTGTCGCCAGCTAAGCTGGGGACTCGTCGGCATTTGGATTCTTCGTGCAAGAGTTGCCCGCTGAGCTAGAGACTCCTCGGCATTCGGATTCTTCGTGCAAGAGTTACTAGCTAAGCTGGGGACTTCCTTGGTGGTCGAATTTTGTGTGCTATCAAATTGCTCCATGCTGTTCGGATCAGAGTGCTGATCTTAGGCAGCACGTCCGGGGTCTTGATAAGTACATGGCCAATGATGTTGGCAAGCTTTTATTAAAACTCTTTGACCCTACTATAAGATTTTATTTTTTTATCTTCTAGCAGGCTCGGGGACTACAGCGTGTACACTGCACCTTACGGTGCATGTACTAAGTTTTCTTGTTATGGTTTTCAGCTAAGCTGGGGACTGATTGTGATCGGCTAGCATATAGAGTTTTCCCTTTTTTAACCATGGTACTACGTGAATTATTCACCTAACGCCAGACTCGAGACTAAGTGGCTACACTTCACCTGATGGTGAATGTAGTGTTTTTTTCTGATTTATCCTCCTTATTGACTAAGTCATGGATAATAATCATCAGACCTCGCAAACGGAGTCTAAGTGGCTACGCTTCTAAGGGGAAGAATTTTCAAATTATATCTTGAGCCCCTTACATCATTCTGGCAATCCTTACTTGGCTAAGTTCGAGATCTACTAACCAGTTAAACTGGTCGGCATCCATTTTCATTGGTCAGTCAACCAGTTAAACTAGTCGGCATCCATTTTCACCGCTCAGATTACCAGTTAAATTGGTCGGGTTACCAGTTAAACTGGTCGGCTTCAAGTTAAACTACTTGGACATGATCAAGACGGCGTTGCCTCAGCGGATACATGACGCTTCGGAGTGGGGGCTGGGGGTTCAGGTGCGTGGGCTGTCGGGTGGGGGGAGGGAGGTGGCGGCGCGCAATTATACCATAGTAACCTTGAAGGCATAAAATTAATTAGAGCTAATAACTTCACTAGGAACCAAGAGGCACCAAGAAGCACCCCCAACCACGTAAATGAGCTCATCCATTGTATATCTTTACTAGTTTACTTTGAAAGATAATTATATGGCTTAAATTATACTAATCATCTGCTAATACCACTGTTAATCTGCTAATAAACTGCATCCGCGAGCGTGGCTCCGGAGATATGGATTTCATCCATGTTTCCCACAAGCTATGCTTGTTGGGCACTTTTGCATCCATGGGGTCAGGCTCGAGGTATCAACGAGGCAACCAAACATGCAGCACTTGTATCTACGGAGCCTGACTGACCGGCATGAATTACAGGCAACCAAACACGGTGCATGCTGCTTATTTCTAGTTGTGAGCTTGATCTGTATCAATGCATGCCAAATAAGTAAGGGGACGACTTTTGCACAAACAAACCACAAATCGATCGTTTATAAATTTATTTAAAAGCACACAGAGTGAGTAATATAGTAACAAATAAAATACATTTCTTCACACACGTATGTATATATAGGATGACACAACAATCAGCTGACACACAACTGAGAAATGACACGCCACACCAGAGCACACGAGACAGGCTACTGGAGCACACAGCTAGCGTAAGCTGAGTGGAGTTCAGCTAGCGCTAGCGCTTCTTTATTTGCCAAAGCTTCAAACAGCAAACTTGAGCAACAAAACCGAGACCAATATAATGCACCTGGCGTACGAAGCACGTAGGGCAACACACCCGACGCCAATGCCACGGCGAAACCAAGCAGAACACAAAGCACACAGGCACGTCCAAACCAAGCCAGCGGAAGCGAAAAACAGAACAGCCGGGGCGCAGCCGGCAGCACGCTACGGGCGGGCGGGAGCAGGCCGGCCGGGAATGCATGGTTGATCGATCGGCAGCCTTTCTTTTATTACCTGCAGGAGATCGAGGAGAGCGATCGAGTGGTCAAATAATTTTTGTCGCGTGATGAGACTCAAATTTTAAAAAATAGAAAACCCTTCAATACGATATCGGATGAAGATAATTTTTATATGTAAATTGTAGATCTCGATGAGATCTACAACTTTATAGTTTTAATTTTTTTCATTTGAGGACAGTAAGATACTCGAAAAAATAATATAAAATTTCAGCACCATATTTTATCGCGTGATGAGATTCAAATTTTAAAAAAATAGAAAACCCTTCAATACGATGTCGGATGAAGATAATTTTTATATGTAAATTGTAGACCTCGATGAGATCTACAACTTTGTAGTTTTGAGTTTTTTCATTTGAGGATGTTAAGATGCTCGAAAAAATAATATAAAATTTCGGCGCTCCCGAAAATATCAAAAGTTACTGTTCATCCGCAAAACCGTCCAGAAGGTTGAAAGTTGAACTTTTTCGAGAGTTGGAGGGCCAAAGTTGTCCGGTTTTAAAGTTCAATGTTGAAATCCATACTTTGATGAAAGTTGGAGGGTGTAAATTATACTTTACCCTAATCTAAAAGTCGGAATTCTTGTGCACCGGCTTTGCATTATTAATTGTGTGTACGGATAGTGATATATATTTCTAGCATCCATCGATGACGACCTACGCACCTGAGTGGCGAGCCCCTGATCATGGTCTCCTTATAATGCCGCGAGTGGATCGGCTTGTAGTTGCTGGCCTGCACCTTGTCCCATCTCAGCTTGTCCCACCATTCCTTCTCACAGTCGCAACTCACCACCTTGTTGCTGCCAACAATCGGCAGTTTCGTGAGTCTCCAGCAGCCTCTGATTTTGACGGTCTCGAGGTTGGGCGCATATAATCTGATCGCCACCAGATGCCCTGTCCAAGTCACTATTTCATACAGCTTGGGGAGCTCGTGAAGGCAGAGGTGCTTCAGCTTGGGAAGCGAGCGCGGCACCCCCTCTAGTAACCCTGTGTACCATGCCATAGTGAGTGAATAAGACATCTTGAACAGTGCAAACCTAGAATTTTGCGAAAGGGTATGCCACACCAATATTTTTACATGCAATTCGATAAAATCTATTTAATAATTCAGTAAATAATTATAAAAATTTGTTTCAATATTTTGGTACGTATAGGTACTAAATAGCATAAGAAGTCCTAAATTCAATGACTAGGTTCAAAATTTGCACAAAATACGTTATAAATAGTCAAAAACACTATTTAATAGTTCAAAATATGCATAAAAGAATCTTATAAAACTATTAGAGCTGCACAAAATACAATGCAAATAGTTCAAACACTATTTTAAAAGTTCAAAATATGCATAAAACAATCTTACAAAACTACTTTGTCTGGCATATGCTTACAACACAATTTAGCAAATACGTCACGCTCCACTAGGCTAGTACAATGCAAGGTTGTCTGTATCTCGATCCATATTCTCAATTCTTAGGATACTAGTATGACCCTACCAAGTTGAAACAATACAGATCCTATCATTTATTGTGAATTTTACAGAATCCCGATCCTACATAAAAAATCTATTGTATTTGGATGCTATGATCCCCAAATACTATATAATAATTTACATTAACGACTTTTAAAATGATTAAGTTGTGATAAAACAATATATGAAGTTGAGGTGCATTGAAAATTATGTCAATAATTGCACGTAGAATTAAAAAAGTCAAATAAATCGATCGAAATCAATATTATATACTTAAACCTTTACAATATATTACAAATCTTGTATAAAATATATAACTAATGAAATCCAATTAGTACGTTTCAATCCTATGATCCGATATTATCAGGCAAAAAATGATCCTACCTAGGATCTCGATCGTAACAGCCTTGGTACCATGTTATTTTTAGTAGGGACAAAGTATATTATCTTTAGTTAATTTCTAGATGTGTTGGGAGTTTGGACTGTGATATGTTATCCCCAGAACGGCCTCAGAAGTGACCATTTCTGTGTTTATGAATTTAAACTTCATACGAGCCTTGGAGTAGAATTTCATAAAAAAAGACATGACACTTTACAGAACGACTAATATAAGTGATAATGAAACGATGCTAAAGTGATGCCTCTTTTATCTTTAGTGCCATTACATTTGGTGATGTGTTTCACAGGGCTCAATAAAAAGAGGAGAAATATAGAAAAATAAATGATTAAGTATATTATCTATAGTTATTAACTCCTAGAAGAGATATAAAATTGGAAAGTAAAAATTAGAGAGAGAGAGAGAGAGAGAGGGTTTAAAGGCGAAAAATTAATGTGAGGAGATCTCAGGACACAACAAAGAGGAGATAAAAAAAAAAAAAAAAGTAAAATTGTTACATGCAATTGGGTAACCTCCATTTAATAATTTGGTAAATAATTACAAAAATTTGCTTCACAACTAAGTTCAAAAGTTGCACAAAATACAATACAAATAGTCCAAAAAACACTATTTTAATATTCCAAAATATGCATAAAAGAACCTTACAAAACTATTTTGTCTGGTGCATTGCAAGCACGTCACGCTCCACTAGGCTAGTACAATCCAAGGTTGTCAGTATCTCAGATCCATATTCTAAATTCTTATGATACTATGACCCTACCTAGTCAAAACAATACAGATCCTATCATTTATCGTGAATTTTTACAGAATCCCTGATCCTACGTGAAACCTCCATACGATCCTACATAAAAATCCATTCTATCTGGTTACTACGATCACCTGATACTATATAATAATCGACATTAACGACTTTTAAAAAGACTCAGTTGTGATAAAACACTATATGAAGTTGAGGGGAATTGAAAATTGTCAATAATTGCACGTAGAAGTAAAAAAGTCACATAAATTAATCAAATTCAATATCATATACTTGAATCTTTGCCATATATTTCAAATCTTGTATATAAAATATGTAATTTGTAAAATCCAATAGAATCTACCATGTTCCTATGATTCGATATTACTAGGCAAAAAAATGATCCTACCTAGGATCTCGATCCTAGCAACCTTGTTACCATGTTACTTTTAGTTAGGACAAAGTATCTTTAGTTAATTTTTTAAATGTACGGCCGCTGTTGGGGGTTTGGTCTGTTATATATTATCCCCGAACAGCATCCGAAGTGACTTTTTCTGTGTTTATGAATTTAAACTTCATATGCGAGCCTTGGAGGATAAAAAAGTGGAAAGTAAAATCTCGAGATCTTACGGGACACAACAGAGAGGATAAAAAAATGGAAAAATAAGGTGAGGAGATCTCAGTCACGGGACACAACAAAGAGGAGATAAAAAATAAAAAATAAAAGTAAAATGGTTGATGAGGACTCGAACTAAAGACCCTCTAGTTCAAAATGAGGAGCTTACCAGGTGAGCCATCCGTCTTGAAGACCATTTTGAGGTCACCACAATACATGATCTCGAGGGTCCAATCTTTCAAAGACCGCGCGGATCCAAGGGAGAGCGTGAGTGCATCACCAAACCCCAAGTCCATGACGTATCGTGCATTGGTGAGATGTGCCGCCCAGATTGTCCTCAGCTTGCCAAAGGCATCACGGTCACTGCTGCTGTCGTTAAAGACACATTCCAACTTGGGACACCGCTCGACTCGGCACCACTCGAGCTTATCCCATTTTGATTCTGAACAAGCTATTCGGGTGATGAACAAGCTATCATGCACGTGCAGAATCTTAGGGCCTTCACATACAAATCCCGGAATAGTAATCTCATTATTCCCACCTGCAGCAGCATATCAGTAGTGTCTTCTATATGCATGTAGCAGCCGGAGTGGGGGACGTGGCGAGGTGCTGCCCGGCGGTGCCGGTCGCCGGAGTAGGGGAGGTGCTCCGTGCTCGGGGCCATCTCGAGAAATTTGGGGCTGGAGCGACGATAAATCGGAGCCCTAAAGTTTATACAAGTTGTATGACTAATAAAATTAAATCATAGCTTCAGTGAAATATATGACTTTAATATGTATTATAGACATACTTTCACTTAAATTTATAATTTTAATATGTATTCTTTTGTACCATATGTAGAAATACAGTAAAAATATTACTAACCTCAAGAATCATATTTTCTATTTCTAGTAAACATGATGTGGATTGAATTAATTTAAATAAATTCATAGAGTGTATATATATATTAAGTCAAGTCCCATGCCTAAATGTCTAATGTCTTCGACCCTTCATTCTAATCAGAACAAAAGAAAACACAAACAAATCAAATCAGCCGACAGCAACATTAATAAATTATTAAATTAAGAATTTGTTAGCACGCCAAGACTCTATAGGTCTAATTAACTTCCTGTTCGGCTGGTATTAAAGCCGGCTGAAGCTGTCTTGTTGTGAGAGAAAAATACTGTAGATTTTAGCTGATAAGCCGGCTGATAAGTTCAAGCGAACAGGCCCTGCGAAAGATTCAGAGTCACAAGCATGCCAAGATCGGAAGGCACTAGGCAGGAAGAGAACACTCGGTAGACGGGGTCAACGCTAAGTTCTTGCGATATTGCGGCAGATGAATCATCGAGTGTAATGCTTCGGCTTGTGGGGCGCGGCAGCAGATGAATCGTCAGCCAGTCAGGCACACGGCAGGCAGCAACGCGCCGTGAAGCCGCACGCGAGCAGGGAAAGGGGCGTCGGGCAGGGGCGACCGAGCGACAGAGTCACGGAGATGTATTTTGGGGCTTCGTTCGTGGGCTGCCAGAAACTTTTATTGTATTGGGCCTTCGAGTGACTCTTCCAAGATACGTATAAACCTGTGTATTAGTGTATATTATACATATTAATTTTTTTCTACCAAATCATGGGTATGCAAGGCATAGAGGGGCATACCCTGCCGCCGCCCATGATCAAGTAGCCACCCATGCCGCAGAACCTCATCGTGTACAGGAAGCAATCGGCGGCTGCTGTTTGCCAGTCAATGCCGCCAGTACTGATCATGCCCTTTGCAACTTCTTCTGCCTCGCAGCGCAAAATCACGGAAAAACTGTACTCGCCGAGGTTAATGGCGGAAGTTGCTGAGAGAAAAACATCTGTTGATGATGCCGTCTTGCTCTCGAGGGCCCTGTCGACCTTCATCCTGGGGTAGAGCCGGAATCCCCCTTGGAATGACCACAGGGCCTTGTTCCTTGAGTACCCGGACAGTGGGAAGCCCGAAGCTTTCAAGATCGATCTCATCGCAGCTCCCGTTGTTGAAGATCACCAAGAACCTTTGGCCCAGCTGCTTCTGTACGTGTTCATATATCTCCCTGGAGACCTTGGGTATCTCGAGGCGTGAGCCCTGGCCCACACCCCGGTAGTCGTCCTCCTCGTCTTGTGCCTCAAACATCCCTATCACATGAGCGGGAAGCTGAAGCTGCACCGCGAGAGCCCTCTGCACCGCTCTCCTGCTCTCCCACTTGGAGCAGTCGATGTGGATGATCTCTGAGAACTCCCGACCACCGCTGAGGCGTTGGCCTACGGCTCGGAGGACGGCAGATGCCCCCAGCCCATCCCAGCCATCAAAGTAGATGACATTGTGCCAGACACTGCCGGTAGTGTCATCATCGTCCTCCTTCAGTTCTGAGAGAATTCGACTGATAGCTTCATCGATGGTGCTGGCCTTGATAACCTGCATCCAAAATGAATGCATATATGCGTCAGTCCCCTGTTTCAAACAAATTAAGCCATCGACTTGGGTTCGTTGGAATGTGATCTCTGCTAATCCCGAGATTAATTAAGTGTTAAGTTTCTGGTCTACCTGTGAAACATATCCAACAGATTAGTTCTGCCACGATCGGCAGCAACCCTTAGATCTTCTAGGGTTTGGCCCCTTGGCCCACAGCAGCGTCTATAAATAAGAGGAGATGTTGGAACCGAGCGTTGGAGATCGAGCTTGACGGCGTCGCGCCACCGGTGATGGTGGCCGCGGCGACTAGAACCCTAGAACACCCAAGCGAAAACTGGACACAGAGAACACAGATGGCGCTGCCAATTGCCTCAGCCTTTTCGGTTGTTTTTCTCATTCATAACATGCTCATATTACACGGGCTTGAAGCCCGACATCCCCTCCACCACGACCCAGTCTACGTGATTAGTTTCTTTCGGATCTCCGCAGGACGTGCACTCAGCGCGACGTTGTGACGGGGCCAGAGCTAACACAGCGGTCACAGCGTGGCATGGACACATCTCGTCCGCCTGCGATTCTACGCTAAGCAAACAACTACGACACGTCCCAATGGGATTACAGATTATGTACATGACTTATTCAACAACTAACAAATCACCCCTTAATCCCGTTGTACCTTGACGACTCCAAGCCTCTGTCTGAGCTTCACATGCCTGATCCTGCCAAGGGCCTTCGTGAGGATATCGTGATCCACATCAACCACGCCATTCTCAATGCCTAGTCTGATATAATGAAAGCGAGTATCAATGTGTTTACTCCGATCATGGTGCACTGGATTTTTGCTCAGCTCTATGGCTGACTTATTGTCAACAAGAAGCCTGAACTTCTGAATCTCACTGCCTGTCAAGTCGGCTACCAGCATACTGACCCACACCCCTGTAGGGTCGAGATGGTAGATTAGAAGGGGGTGAATAGTCTTTTCTAAAATTAATCGCACTGGCTAACCGAAACAAATGCGGAATTAAAACTATCGGTCTAGCCAAGACTACACCCCTCTATCTAAGTTCTCTAGCACCTTAGAAAAGATCCAAATTAGGCAACAAAGGTGTCGGGCTAGCTAGAGCTCACATAACCAATTCTAGGAGCAAGGTCACACAAACCTATGCCACTAGTACTTCAAGCACGGGGGAGCTCCTACACAACTAGTATGCAAAAGCACAAAGCCTAAGCTCACTAGTAATGCTCAATAACAAGACAACCAATGCCAAATTAGAGAGCGTAAAATACTTAGCTACACAAACTATGCAATGTAACTAACAAGGTTGCTAAAACCAAATTAGGCACGCAAGAGATCTACTTCTATGCTACTAAAGTTAAACTAGTTATAAGAGCAACTACACAAGCACAATATATGAAAAGTAAATACAAGCTTGTGTATGGGGAATGCAAACCAACGGGAAGAACAATATTGACACGGTGATTTTTCTCCCAATGTTCACGTGTTTGCCAACATGCTAGTCCCCGTTGTGTCGACCGCTCACTTGGTGGTTCGGTGGACTAATTGGCATCACCGCCAAGCCCACACGTTGGGCACCGGAAAAACTTACCCACAAGTGAGGGTAGCTCAATGACATGCTCTACTAGTGTTGCTCTTCGTGGCTCCCACGGGGTGAGCACGATACCCCCACAAATCCTTCTCTGGAGCACCGCACAATCTTCTTACGTGCTTCACGACGGAGAACTCGCCATCAAGCCATCTAGGAGGTGGCAACCTCCAAGAGTAACAAGCACCACCGGCTTGCAACTCGAACACCTAGTGCCACTCGATGCAATCTCACAATACAACGCACTAGAATCACTCACTCACAATCAATTTGCACTCTTTCAAGCACAAGTGAGTTAGAGGACATCCAAGCACTCCTACATAAAGCCACATAGGCATGAGGGTCCTCAGCAGCCAGCCCAAGGCCGGCTAGTGCTTGGTTTTATAGCCCTCAAGCAAATAGAGCTGTTGTACCCCTTCACTGGGTTTACTACGTGATGACCGGGCGTGCAGGTGCAGTGACCGGATGCGTCTGGTCCCTATGTCCGGTTGCTCTGACTCCGCCATGTGTCACTAGCCGTTGCCGCGAATGACGCCTAATTCACCCACACGCTCAGACCCCTAAGTAGACGCGCCTCCAAGCCATGACCGGACCCACCTCAGCTAGAATCCGGTCGTGGTCCAAAACCACACCGAGAGCTCCCAGACACGATCGGACGCGTCCCGTCACTTATGATCGGACGCTCCACTGCGTCCACTCATCCTTTGCGCTCTGTGCCGTCTCATGAATAGTAGCAGCAGCGCGTCCGGTCTTGCCGTGAGGCCAGCATCCGATCGCGACACTCCACTAAGCGCTCTCTGCTCAACAAGACCGGACGCTGAGGCCAATGACTGGACGTGCCACGCGCTAAGTCCGATCAGTGTCCCAGCACTGCCTGAGGCTTAGGGTTTGGCACCGGACGCATTCGGTCTCCCGAGGACAGCGTCTGATCACCCCAGTGACCTACTTCTCGCCTCCTTTTCTTCACCAACTTCTTCTTCTTTGCAAATGTGCCAACACCACCAAGTGTACACCACCATATGAAAGTGTGTTAGCATTTTCACAAACATTTTCAAAGGATTAGTCACTCAATTCACCACGCCACTCGATCCTAACAATAATGCAAAGTTAGATCACTCGAGTGGCACTAGATGACCGATATGCAAATAAGTTTGCCTCTCTTGATAGTATGACCATCTATCCTAAACCCGATCATAAACTTCTCTACACACCTATGATCGGTGAAATAAAATGCCCTATAGGTTATACCTTTGCCTTGCGCATTCCATTCCATCTTCTCCGATGTCAATGCAACACATGCACCAACATGATCAACAATAATATGATCCACTTCATATCATCATGTGACCGTATTGGTTCATCGATCTTGACTTCACTTGTTCTTCACCGTTGCTTTGGTCCATCGACGCCAAGTCATCACTCAACTTGCCCTTCACACTTGCAACCGGTCCATCGAGCTAAGCCTTGTCTTGATCTTCTCCACCTTAGTCACATGACTCCATGTCATGTCTCATATGCAATAAGCTCCTTCATCACATGTGTGAGCCTTGCAACAAATCCAAGCAATTTCACCTCCATGGCATGTGTTGCTCACACAAGTGTACCTATGGACTAATTACCTGTGTATCTTACATTAAACACAATTAGTCCACCTAAGGTTGTCACTCAATTACCAAAACCAAACAAGGAACTTTCAACCCCCTAACATGCTCTTGTTGCTGCTGCAACATATTCTGCCTCACAGGTAGATAAGGCCACGACCTTTTGTTTTTGTGAAACCCAAGTCACCAGATTGGACCCCAGGAAGAATGCCACTCTAGATGTGCTCTTGCGGTGTACCAGATCACCAGAATGATCACTATCTGTATACCCCAGCAAAGACAACTCTAAACTTCTTCCTTTCTTCTATTTGAGCCCAAGATGGATTGTGCCTGCAACATATTTGACAATCCTCTTCACCACAGCCCAATACTCTTTATCTGGTGTTTCCATGAACCTGCTAGCAACTCCCACAACATATGCTATATCAGGTCTTGTGTTCACAAGATACCTCAAACTGCCAATAATGCCTTTGTACCTTGTAGCATCCTTCTCAACTCCAAGTTTTGCTGTCATAAGTCTGACACGTTGCTCCATAGGAGTATCAACTAGATTGCATCCTTTCATCTGACACTGCTCAACTATTTTCTTGGTATAGGCACTTTGACAAATAGTAATCTCAGAGTCCTCTTGATTCACTTCTAGCCCCAAGTAATAGCTAAGTAAGCCAAGATCACTCATGCTGAACAGATTCATCATCTACCTCATAAATTTAGTAAATTTGTTACTGTCAGGCCCACAAATGATCAAATCATCAACATAAACTCCAACTAGCAAAAGTGAAACACCTTCACCTCTTTTGTAGACAGTATGCTCCACTTTACATTTCACAAAACCCAAACTAAGTAGCTCATGATTTAGTTTGGCATTCCAAGCTCTAGGTGCCTGCTTAAGACCATACAAGGCCTTGTTGAGTTTAAAAACTTTGCCTGCACTTTCTTTACTCACAAAACCAGAAAGTTGTTTGACATAAACTTCTTCAAGTAATACACCATTTAGGAAGGCTGACTTTACATCCATGTGATGAATCTCCCAGTTGCCATGTGCTGCTAAAGCCAACAGTACCTTTACTGTCTCCATTCTAGCCACTGGTGCAAACACTTCCTCATAATCCACCCCCTCTATCTGTGCATAGCCCTTTGCAAAAAGTCTTGCTTTGTACTTGACAATGCTTCCACTTGGATCCCTTTTCACCTTGAACACCCACTTCAGACCAATGGCCTGCTGATTCTTGGGTAGTTCAGAGAGCATCCAGGTGCTGTTCTCCTCAATTGATTCAAGCTCAGCTTCCATTGCCTTCCTCCAACAATCCTCCTCAAGAGCTTCTTCAACACTGGAAGGCTCATCAGCAGCAAGTAGACACAACCCACTGTATTCAAAATTCTGAATTTCTTCTGTTGTATCATATAGTGATACAGGATGGACAGTGTTCTGAATCTGGGTGTCAGTTCATCAGCTTCAGAGCTTTGGTCTCCTGGTGGTGTTACCCACTGCATTCTAGCTGAAGGTGAACTCGTTGCAGTGTGAGTTGCTGACTCCTGGGGGCTCACAAACACTAGAAACACTTGTGCAGATGGTGGTGATGCTGATTCAGGCACCCCAGACTGTGGATTGCCTTGTTCAACTTCTGTTATCAGTTGGGCTACAGTAGACTGAAACTCAGTAATGAGGAATTCAGGTCTGTCTTGACTGTTACAAGCATTGCTCTAGTCCCATCCTTTGTTCTCCTCAAAAATGACATCTTTACTTATGTGTAGCTTCTTTGACTCAGGATCATACATCCTATAGCCTTTGGTTCCCACTGCA